GAAAACATTACTGTATGAGGGCAACCCTGACAGGGGAAACAGTAGAACTAAGAGGGACCGGACATTAATCCATGCTCTCCAAATCTTTCTGAACAAGTCTCTCATATTTCAGACTTGTAAGTAACAGCCAGGCAAGGCGTGTTAGGTTTATCTTTGTTTTCTCAACTTGTAAATGTTCCTTTTTGCTAGAGGGTTTACCTCTGTTTGCTGTAACTTTGAACCTAAGGCTAGAGGGGGTTCCTCTGGGCTCTTTGAATCTGATTACACTGTAAAGTTATTTTCCATCCTGATTTTACAAAGATGATTTTTACCTTTCTTTCTTTAATTAAAAGCCTTCTTTTTAAGAACCTGATTGATTTTTCCTTGTTTTAAGATCCAAGGGGATTGGAGCTGGACTCACCAGGAATTGGTGGGGGGAAAGGGGAGGGGGGGGGAATGATTAATTCCTCCTTGTTTTAAGATCCAAGGGGTTTGGATCGGTGTACACCAGGGAATTGGTGGAGGAGTCTCTCAAGGCTACCCAGGGAGGGAAAGGTTTTGAGGGAGGAAGACAGAGTTTCCCAAATGACTCCAACTATTTGGGTGGTGGCAGTAAAAGCAGATCTAACCTGGTAATTCAGTTTAGGAGGTTCACATGCAGGTCCCCATATCTGTACTCTAAAGTTCAGAGTGGGGAAGGAACCTTGAATGACCAAAGGAAGTGCTCCAGGAAAAGGGCTAGTTACTTACTGGTAACTGTTTTTCAAGAATTGCTTCTGTGCACTCACACTTGCGACAATGCCTCTGGTGCTGAGCTGCAGAACTCTCTTGGCAAGCAATATCACTTGGGGGTATTCAGTATAATACACTGAAATACCAGCTCTGCTCTAGCTGAGGAGGGGAAGCCCCTTTTGTTCAAAAGACAACTCTGCTAAGTGCCCTAAAATCTGTAGATTTACACCAATTGTTTTGAAATTTGCTATGCCTCATGGGAGTACAGGGTAGGGACGTGATCCAAATGTGGGGTCATCTGAAGACTAGTCTACACTAGAAGCGCTACAGCGGTGGAGCTGCTATAGCGAATCTGGTGAAGATGCCAACAGGACAGAGCTCTCCCATCAGCATAATAACTCCATCTCCGCGAGAGGCGGTATCTATTTCAGTGGGAGAAGCTCTCTCCCCAACATAGCATTGTCCACACCGGTACTTAGGTCGATGTAACTTACATCGCTCAGGGGTGTGGATTATAAGAAATCAATGAAATTTAGGCTAAATACTGGGAAAGAAATCCTAACAGAAATAGGCACTGACTCCGTGGGTGCTCCAGTCCTGGAGCACCCCCGGGAAAAAAAAAAAAAAAGGGGGGGCTTAGGACCCCCCCGGCAGCCAACTCCCTCCCCCCCTTCCCCAGCGCCTCCCACCCGCCAGCAGACCCGCTGATCAATTCCTCCTCCCTCCCTCCCAGCACCTCCTGGCCACCACAATCAGCTGTTCCGTGGTATGCAGGAGACGCTGGGGAGAAGGGTGGAATTGGGCGGGAAGAGGTGGGGCAGGGCCTGGGCCAGAGCTGGGGTTGAGCACCCCTGAAGCAAGGAGGAAGCTGGCACTTGTGCACAGATAAATTGGACTATGAAATAGTATCCCAAAGGAAGAGTTGGAAGCCTTATTACTTGAGACATTTAAAACTAGACTGGACAAAATTATCTTCTGTAGAGAACAAACCTGCATCAGCAGAAAGACAGCCCAGATGTTTTAATGGGTCTCTTCTACTTCTAATTTCTATGAATATAGGAATTTGAACTACTTCATGCACAGCAATAGTAAAAAACATTAAAAAGACCAACCCAGCCACAACAGTCATTTTAAACAGCTGCATTTTGAAGCCCTCTTCAGGAAATGTATGTAAAAACTTTAATTTTGGTTTGTGTCTGCTGCATCATCAATTAGTTCTTTCTTGAGGCTACAGCAGCAGCCAAAAGTTACAATAAATAACCCCTGCCTCAATCCCCTCAATGAAAAGGGATGCAAAGAAGTTGACAGAGCTGCCACTTTGATGCAACAGCGTCTCTATTCTTTCATGCACACCTTCTTCCAGGTGCTGGTGCTCTGACCTTCTTGGCCATTTTATTTAGGCAGCCTAGAGATAAAATATTTAGCTGCACTGAGGTAGGAATTTTGAAATAGTCATTCTTTTGCATTACAACACTGTTAGGAGAAGAGTAATTTCTGCCTCCCATTACTGCTTTCAGTAGCGTCTGATCCGATTGGTGAACCTCTGTCAAAATTACTACAGCAATACAAACTTTTCATCTTCTGGCAGAAATTAAAGAGTGTGGCTGCTTTGCCTGCACATTTTAAACTAACACATACTGTGCTTGTCCAGTTTATGTCGTCAACAAACTCCAGAATATGTTTGTATAAAAAAAAAAAATCTAAAAAGGTAATTCTTTGCCATCAGATTTGTATGCTGGAAGTTTAATTCTGTAGAATAGGGATAGAGAATCCCCAAGGGAAATAACTGTGTTTTCACAATTCCTCAGTAATAGGGCTGAGGTGATAAGTCTGGTTTATCAACAAAACAAAGATCTAGAAAGCCTTCACCCTGCCTCTCTATTGGATTTCTCACAACAGCCCACATTTCCAGTAATTTGGAAGCAGAGAAACACATTTTTTAAAAGCTGGTCCTCCTTTTAATGTGTTGTTTCCTATTTAATGGTCTTTTTACCTTCTAGATGCTCTCAAATATTAGAAGTGCTTATTAAAAAGCTGATTGGACATGCAACTTCAATATTTGCCCCGTTCCTAACACATAAACCTGAATTCCAATTCCACAGCTGGCCCCAACCACAAATGTTACTTATAAAAAAGGAAAACAAATTTAGGCCTTATCCAGGCTATACCTATACCAGCAAATCCTTTTAGTGGGAAGACAACTTACACCTGTAACAGAGTTCTAATACCAATTCCATGAATTAGATAAACTATACCAACAAAAGCAATTTTTTGCTGGTATAACTGTCTACACAAGGGCTTTTGCTGGCATAGCTAAATCAATTTGGGATATCATTTTTTTCCACCTTTTAACTGCATCGCTATGCCAGCAAAATTAAGTGTAGACCAAGCCTTAGGGCTGGTCTACACTGTGGGGGGAGGGGGAAAATCAATCTAAGATACTTCGACTTCAGCTATGCTATTCTCGTAGCTGAAGTCGACGTATCTTAGATCGATTTACCTCGGGTCCTCATGGCACGGGATCGACGGCTGCGGCCCCCCCGCCGACTCCGCTTCCGCCTCTCGCTCTGGTGGAGTTCCGGAGTCGGCAGGGAGTGCGTTCAGGGATCGATTTATCGTGTCTAGACGAGACGCGATAAATCGATCCCCGATAGATTGATTACTACCCACCAATCCGGCGGGTAGCGAAGACGTATCCTTAGTATGGATAACATCTGATTTATTTATTGTTGTACATGCCCTGTGACTGAAGTGTGTGCCCACTTCTTGGACACACATGTCACTTACCTTGGTGAGCCTTCCATCTAGAAGTCTGTTTTTTTAAACTTACTAAAGCAAACACTCCTGCCTTTTGAAAGATGTCACAGAGTGACTGGCTCTTGCAAGAAAGGGAGCAGGGTCCAGTGCATCAGGTCTGATTACCTGCTGCCCAGCTGGATTTAAGGGAAGGCTCATGAGAGCCTTATACGGGGGAGACAGCCAGTGGTGGGTTGGTGGCAGATGTCTGCCAACACTTCAGGGAGTAAGAAGGCTCCTGTAGGGCCCTAAGATAGCAGGTAGAAGATACCAGCACAGAAGGGCTGTGGAGAAGGCCGACCAATAGGGAACAGGGGCAGAAGGCCGACCAATAGGGGCAGAAGACAGACCCTCAGGCAGAAAGGGCTATGCCCAGCTTGGAACTGGAACAGAAGAGTGTTTGAGCTCTGAAGGGAAGAAAGACCATTAAAAAGGACGGGCTGTGCCCAGATTGTGACTGGGGTGAAAAATGAACTCTTAGAGAAAGACTTTAAGGGATGAGGGGCTGGGCGCAGCTGAAACTGGGATGAAGACTTTATAAAATTTTTCTTTAGAAAGATTTTGTGCAGGACTTAAGTTGGACCCTAGAAAGGGAATTGTTTTGAATATCTGTATTGTGTGGACTTTTTAAGAAAGCCTGAGTTAAGGGGAAATTTGAGGCAGGCCTCAGAAGAGCCAGACTTGTCCAGCAGGGGGCACCACAGGTCAGATGAGTCATTTGCTAGAAGCTAAAGGCAGTTTCCACTTCAATCAATGAAGTAATCCAAGCAGTGATTAATTGTTTAAAATTTAATATAAAATCCTAAATCAATGAACTAGCATAAAAATTAGTCCTGAATATTTCTTGTACATCACAATCTATTTAGAAGTGGTGTATTCTTGTGAACAGATGTCTTCCTACCCTACTTCTCAGCACAGCATAGAGGCCTCAAGTTAGGGCTTGTCTACACAGCAAGCTACTGCATAGCAAACCAGGGTGTGAACCTACAGCACATCAGCTTGCCATGAAGTAATATCCCATGTGGGAAATGTTACAGAGCACTGAAAGTCCTGGAGTGTGCCTTGACATACTACAGTTCTTTGTACATATGTATGTATAAAGTAAATTGGTTCTAGATTGTTTTTAGATCAGTTGAAGGTCCCCATGTATTATGAACACAATCATTGCCTATGTACTTATGACCCTCATCCGCAGTTATCAAATTCACCAAGCATAGAGATTATCAGTGGTTGGATAGCCCAGATTACACAAGAGGAGGGTGTGGGTCACTTTACAAGGTTTTAACGTCATAGGATTTATTTATCATGCTAAATTACTATTCCAGTAAAATCTCTCTAAAAGATTGCTATTGGTAGTCCTCATTCATTTGCCCCATATAAAGTTTTCAAATGACAGTCATGTGCCACAAACATCAGTTTATTATTACAGTAACATTTGCTTTAAAACCAGGCATAAGCATTCTGTATGAGATGAGAGGAAAAAACTCACTTACCTGCACTGCCGAGCTGTTTATAAAACCTGTACTCTAAATGAAGCTGTGGGGCACGGGATTTTATTGGTTCCTGCAACCAGAGAGTGAGGAAACAATGGTCAAATTTAAATAAAATTGGTTCTATGGAAATTTTTAAATTTTACGCCGACCCATTGTCACCCAGACAGTTAAACAACAGCATGTAATAGTCCAATACAAGAACCGACTATTAGTTGTCATCTAAATGAATGGACAAAAAAACCCAGAAGCTGCTATAAGAACATTATATCATTTACTATGAAGAACTTCTCTAATTATAGACAATTCACCTTTTTAAATATCTGAAGTGTCGAGGGGGGAGGGGGACTTCCTATTTAAAGAGGTTCCTGGTTGTGAGCAGCAATTTTAAATAAGCATCGCTCAACAAAGCTTTAATTAATTAAAAAACAACCCTGGCCCCGTAAGCATATTCTCTGGAAGAAATGACACCAGAGGTTTACCAGCCGCAACCATTGGATCACTGTAAGTCCACAGGGCCTTTTTGGTGATCACTAACAAATTTTTGAAGCTTGTTCAAAACCACATTTATTTTGCTCTTTTAATCAGTATCTTAATTGTATAAACATATTACCTTGTTCTGAGCAAGTACTGTAAGCTGCATGTATCACGTAAAAATGCCTCATACTGGATCCTTCCACTTTGAATCATTTAAATATCCCAAAGTGAATAAATTAAATATTCAACCATCTTTGATATTTAAAATTTAGTTATCTTGTTGGTTTACAAAAATATAAAATTAAGCATCTTATATGCTCCAGTACAAACTGTACCTCAAATTAATAACTACTTCGCAGCCAATGTTTTCTCAGCTATTCCATCCGTGTGTTACACAAAACAAAGCTAGCTTTACTTGCAGAGCATAAAAAAAAACCACCACCAAGAAAGATTAACACCTATGTAACTACCAAGCTAGATATCTTTTGTTAAGTGAGGAGGCATGAGAGACTTATTCACCACCCATCTGAACAGGGTGGATAAAAATCAAACAGATCTATAAGAAAAGTTTTGTAAATGAGTTCCAATAGTTCATGGATTACGGACATAATCTGATGGGGTTCCAGGGGCTTCTGTATAGATTATTTAGGTTAATCTTTCTATCTACCCAATGGGACTCAGTGCTCAGTCTAGAAGATACCATCAGAGATGCTTAGTTTTGTAGTTCTCAAACAGTGGAATTGTCTCTCCAGTGATAACAACATGTTTGTTAACAGCAAAAATGTTTTTCAATAAATAAATGTATAGAGGTGAGAAATAACAGACCTCAACCCTA